TGAGAAGGCCACCCACAGAAACCTAGGGAATACTAACATGCAAAGCACAGGCAGAAGAAAAGATGCTTTAGAAGAAGACTGAGGAGGAGTTGCTATACAGGAAAGAGAAGCCAGAAGAGGGAGGCACCATGGAAATCACAGAGAAGCATTCCAAAAAGCAAGCAGTAGTCAAATGCCAGACCCTTTAAAAAGACAAGCAAGATAATTTAAAGATGTTCTCTGATTAGCAACAAGGAGATATTGGCAAGAATGGTCTCAGTGGACTAGTTGAGGAATAAAGAAGTAGAAACAGAAGGTATCGCATTTTCAAAAATGGAACTGGAAAGGGATGTAGGGAGATAAAAGCTACAAGGGAGAATTCAGAAGAAGAGAGTAGCTGTTTTTGAAGACAGGAGACAGATGCCTCCAACAAAAGGAAAAAAAGATAAAAATCGGAATGAGGGACTAGTAGGGAGTTGGAAGCATGTACAATGTTCGCCTAACGCTTGACAATAAATTTTGCTCAGAATAGAGATGAGAGAGAGAAAGGTGAAGGCCTGAAAGATATAAACATTGCAAATGAAAAAGAGAGGGATTAAAGGACTCTGAACAGCTCAGGAAGCTAAATGAGTATTAGAAATCATGACTTTACAGAGTTATCAGTCCACGTGAGGGCATGGATTCTCTCCAAAGACTTTAGCATCTGGTCCAGAGTAGCAAGTACCTTTGGTTGGTTCCAACTGAGAGTCTGAATTGTTCCATTACATCACAAGCTTGGCATCACTATCTTCCCACCATACATTTGGGTTACATCCCTTTAGCCGTGAGGAGATTTAACATTTTATAAGTGAGTTTACACTAAAAACTGATTAGACTCATAATATCGAGGGGAGCTCAATAATACACAGACCCAGAGGGCACCAATGATGACTTCTGAATGACATTTTAACCACTTCTGATACCAACCTCTGGTGAGAACTGTAGAAAGAATGATTCATGAAACCAGTTTCTAGCCTTTTGAATGGAACTCTCAAAACAAGGTTAAAGAAAAACCACAGCCTTCACATTCTATTATAGTATGTTTCCCAAGTATATCATAAAACATACAGTAAAGGGGCTTCCCTGGTGGTGCAGTGGCTGAGAATCTGCCTGCCAATGCAGGGGACATGGGTTCGAGCCCTGGTCTGGGAAGATCTCATATGCCGCGGAGCAACTAGGCCCGTGAGCCACAACTACTGAGCCTGGGCGTCTGGAGCCTGTGCTCCGCAACAAGAGAGGCCGCGGTAGTGAGAGGCCCGCGCACCGCGATGAAGAGTGGCCCCCGCTTGCCACAACTAGAGAAAGTCCTCGCACAGAAATGAAGACCCAACACAGCCAAAAATTAATTAATTTTAAAAAAATACAGTAAGGTTGCCTTTAGTAGATCAATCACAAACTTTACAGCTTATCTTATATATTGCCGTTTTTTTTCCGACAACATAAGTAGTGTTATTTCAAGTAAAATACACCTTCATAATGCCTCATTTATGTAGAGGTCATGTGGATACTTGGAATATCTAGGCTGTATCAGAGAATCTCCAAATAAGCAAAGAACACCCACATACCAGAAGGCCCCAGACCCTAAAGCCTGTGCTCACTGTCAAGCCAAGTTTCTCACACTAAGCCAGCTTACTCTTAACTGCGGACATAATTTTACCAAGTTTGGTTACTGGTTTTCTTTTTAACGAACGGGAGATTAGTATGAGTAAATCAGAAGGGATCAGTATTCCGCTGCTAGAGGCAAGCACCCAGTTGGTCTAAAGAACAGGAGAGAAGAAAATTTTAGAACCATAAGGAGTAAAAAGGAATTCGAAAAGCATTATCAGGATTGGGCCATTTAATCAAAAAAGAGTCCTGTAAACATTATCCCCTGACGGTATCTCTGTATTAAGGCAAAGAGTAATTACAAACATACAAAAGGACAATCCTGACGCACCCAGAAGAGATAAAGTATGAAATCTTCAGTTTAAGAAATGTGTAAGATTCAGAGTAACTGTCCTCAAAAAAGATTAGAATAAAAACATATTTTCTGCCACTGGGGCTGGGGTCACTTACACCTATCGGGTCCCCATTCTGTGCCAGGTGCTATGCAGAGTTTTGCCAATCGGATCTCACTTACTTCTTAAAACACTCTTTTTTGGTTGGTCACCACTTTGAAAAGGAGATTATGTTTTACTGAGGTGAAGACAGAGATTACATAGCAGAACCAGGAAACGGACTCAGGTCTATGTGAGTTCAAGCTTATCATTGCTCTTCTAATAAACTTTTTGGATAATGAAAATAAAATTTATGATGCCTGATACATAAGGCATTACAGTGCACAATTACTCCACTCTGACCTCAATTAAATTCCTATGTTGTAATTCTTAACTACTTGATAAGACCAACTTCAATGATGCCATTTATCTTTCAAATATTTTTTAGGCCTTCTCATCGTCTATAATTGTATTTCTCAGAGGGAAATCCATGGATTTCTACTGAGGGCCCCACAGGGTTGATATTTCATAGAACTACTAAAAAGAAAAATCTTAAAATACTCTAAAAACAATGAATGCTATTTACTAAATGAATACTTTGTGCTCTTGTGATATGCTAATATGGTCTATATACCTATTATTCACCTACATACATCTGATCTCCACACCCAACCATCAGGTGTTTACATATCTTTATTCTTCAGAAACTTGCCCAAGGTCCCACAATTGGTTAGGGCAAGACTGAGATTTAAAAGAGGTCCATTACACTTTCAGACCAGGGCTCTTAATGACTTTCTACATGGTCTCTCTTATATGAAAGATGAAGGTATCAAAGTTCAGAGAACTTAAGTAGCCCATTATCTCTTAAATAATAAGTAATAAGGATGGAAACACAACACAATCATTCCACAGTCAAATAAATTTTCTTTAGACAACACCACCTCCTCCCAAAACAAGATAAAACCAATGTTAAAGACACAGAAGCTCCAAGATGCCATCAGAGAAAAGGGGTCACAAGTGTTAATTAGACAGCATCCTACAATAACAACCGTGGACTTACACTCAGGGCTTACTATGTGTCAGAAACTATGCTAAGCATTTTGCTTACAATTATCTTACTTAATCCTGATGACTAATTTTAAAGGCGTAAAGAGGTTAATTAGGCTAAACTTTAGGCTAATATTCTTCCACATGTAAATTTACACACAGAGGTGGCTATTTTTTTTTAATCCGTTAAAGATTAGGATATGTTGGCTTCTTCAGAAATTAAAGTACTTCTAATCTAGTGTTCACCTTAAAACTATACAACCCGAGAACAAAAAAGTTATCAATACATTCATCAGATACCACACAGGAGATGTGAATTTAGTTTTACAAGGTAATATTACCTGAATCCTGTAACATCATAATTTGTTCTGTTCTGCAATGTTCTGCAATTCTATCATCCTATTTGGATTTATTTAGGTCACTAAATCATTCCTCATTTAAACAAGCCAGAATATGAAATTTGCAAAGCAGCAAAAACAGAAATGCTGAGAAAGGATATTTTCAAACACCATTAGGAGAATCTACCAATTAACATGTTTAATGAACAATTATGTTTTCCCATGGTATTTAATAGAATTCTGTTGAAAGACTTTCTGTAAGTTTGTTTTAAATGAGTTCAGATTATTATTACATATTTTTTCTTATTCTCCAAATAAAATAATTATGGAATTTGTGGTATACATAAAAAACAGAGCATTTTCAAAATTTCACATGAATTCACAAGGCTTCTTATTTTAATGATGGGAAAATAAAATTTTAGATCCTTACATATAAGAGAAACATATATAAGACCATTTTCATCTATCTTGTTTTAACACCAAAACCTAATCTCTAACCAAAAGGCACAAATCGATTGTAACAAGAATAAGAAAGTCAGTGACCTTGGAGAGTATTGTGCTAAGTGAAGTAAGTCAAACAGAGGAAAAACAAATACCATATGATTTTACATATATGTGGAACCTAAAAAAAAACAAAGAAATTTGGTGTCTTAATCTAAAAAGTTGAAGATTAAACATGTGTAGAAATTAAATGCAAAACAAAGCCTATTGCTACTTGGCTTGCATTAAAATCATGAAAATGAAGGAAAAAACATAAAAAAGAAAAATCTTAGTTCAGGCAAAACACACCTGGGGCTTCCCTGGTGGCGCAGTGGCTGAGAATCTGCCTGCCAATGCAGGGGACATGGGTTCGAGCCCTGGTCTGGGAAGATCCCACATGCCGCAGAGCCACTGGGCCTGTGCGCCACAACTACTGAGGCTGCGAGTCTGGAGCCTGTGCTCCGCAACAAGGGAGGCCCAGATAGTGAGAGGCCCACGCACTGCGATGAAGAGTGGCCCCCGCTCGCCGCAACTAGAGAAAGCCCTCGCGCAGAAACGAAGACCCAACACAGCCAAAAATAAATAAATAAATTTATATAAAAAAAGAAACCACACCTTAATGACTTTTCAGTCCTTAGAAGAAGAGTTACTAATGGATGACATACCACTTTTACTTATATTTGGAAGATCAAATGGCAAATTTTTAAATGGGAGAGAGCGAGCAGCACAGAGCACAAAAAATATTTAACCCATTAAGCTGAGTTCACATAGGTAAGTATGATAACAATCTATTTGCTAAATAAAAGTATGTATTTTTCATATAGAGACCTTTTGTTCCTAGAACACTTTCATAGTCCGTCTTATCAAAATGTCACGACAACCCCGAGTGGATCAACTTTAAACATACTTGTTAAATATGGGTACATAAACAAGTTAAATGATATGAACAGAAGTGATTTCAGAATTATCCTGCTTAATCAAGAATAAATAAGTTCTAACTTTTGGTGAAAAATGAAACTGTCGTTGCCTTTATTAACTCTATTTTCTCCTACCTTTGGACAGTTTGAAAGCAATGATGTACTGGATGATCAAGTGTGACACCCAAACAATTATTTAAAAAATTCAGTTGCAAACTACCTACCCCTTCTTGTTTGGTGAAGAGATTAAGGCAATCACTCAAAGCTACACAAGTTTCTCTAGAAGCTTCAGAGACAACTTCAACTTTCTGAAGGAATGATGGAAGCATCTCTATAAATAAAAAAATAAATAAAATGAGTAGGATTTTAAGTAACCTTAAAGTAAACTAAGACCATAAACGTATTTTTATATCTACTAACCTCATGTTTCCTTCTAGCTGCCTTAATAAGCAAAGCATATAGTATATTCCTTGGGCATCATAATTAAGCACCTACTTTATGCAGGGCACATAAATTAGTACAGAAAACGAAAGAACAAAGCTTTGACTTAGAAAAGCCTATATCCTAAAAGGAGAAGAGCCAGGACCTATTAAAAAAAAAAAAAAAGGTTCATAGGAATAAATAATACAATGTTTAAGAAAAACAGCTGTCAAGAAGGACTGATATCATTACTTATAAAACATTAACATTTCCTTTCATGATATTCATTACCAGATAAGTAATTTTATTCAAAGGCAAAGTGCTAAAAAGACACAAAAATAATCCTGTAGTTGACAATGATGGCTAACAGATCTGAAGGCGGCATTAACTCAACTTCCCCTGCTTTTTTTTAATCTCATTAATAGGTTTTTAATATGATTTATTTAATAAATAAATAAAATTTATTTATTTTATTTATTTATTTTTGGCTGCATTGGGTCTTCCTTGCTACGTGCGTGCTTTCTCTAGTTGTGGTGAGCGGGGGCTACTTTTCATTGTGGTGCGTGGGCTTCTCATTGCATTGGCTTCTCTTGTTGCAGAGCACGGGCTCTAGGCACGCAGGCTTCCACAGTTGTGGCTCGCGGGCTCTAGAGTGCAGGCTCAGGAGTTGTGGCGCACAGGCTTTGTTGCTCCACAGCATGTGTGAACTTCCCGGACCAGGGCTTGAACCCTTGTCCCCTGCATTGGCAGGCAGATTCTTAACCACTGTGCCACCAGGGAAGCCCTCCTCTACTTCTTATTTGGATAAATGTTTCGTATAAATAGGTCTTTCACTCTCAAAACTATGTCCCTGTCGAGGTCCAGCATCTTTCAGTATATGTTAAATTGGGAAATAAACGATAATATCAGTATCTCCTCTGGACCCTTAAAGAAAATCTTAATCCACTCTACCATTACGGAAAACAAACAAACAAAACAAAATTAACATAATGTTGGCAACAGAAAGCTGTAAAATACACACACGTCACTTAAGTGAAATGTCACATCCTGTCCAGACTAATGTGACAGAAATGTACTTAGTTGAAATAGCTTGGGATTTTATGTTGATTATACATTAGATCCTTTACATCTGTCCCTTCCATCAAATAAAAAAAATTAAGAAAGCTTTAAGAAAAAATAACTTAAAAGAGAAAGACAATTAAATCTGTAGCATCCTATGTATTTTAAGTAATTCTGATTTACCTAAAACACTATTCTTAAAACATGGTAAACAAGGTCAATAAACAAAGAATCAGGTAAATCCAAATGCCAGCAATTTGCAATGACTAGGCCATAAAACAGTAGGTTCCATCAAGAAACAAAAGTTTTCAAATGGGAAATGGAAAGAAAAATAAAATCTACAGAGAACATATGACAAATTATTTAGCCATTATTCTAAGTGATAAAGTTGTATTGCTCTGTTTTGTTCTTTTTTAAATTTTCCAAATTTTTTATATGAACATGATTTATTTTAGCAAAGACAAGTCCTTATCTTGGAAATATTATTTCTCAAAACTCATAAGTCAGGGTTTCCCTGGTGGCGCAGTGGTTGAAAGTCCGCCTGCCAATGCAGGGGACGCAGGTTCATGCCCCAGTCCAGGAAGATCCCACATGCCGCAGAGCGGCTGGGCCCGTGAGCCATGGCCGCTGGGCCTGCGTGTCCAGAGTCTGTGCTCTGCAATGGGAGAGGCCACAACAGTGAGAGACCCGCGTACCGCAAAAAAAAAACACAAACAAACCCAAAAACCCTCATAAGGCAAAAGTGGGCAACAAAAGGAAAAGGTCAGGGACTTCCCTGGTGGCACAGTGGTTAAGAATCCGCCTGCCAATGCAGGGGACACGGGTTCGAGCCCTGGTCCAGGAAGATCCCACTTGCCTCGGAGCAACTAAGCCCGTGCACCACAACTGCTGAACCTGAGCTCTAGAACCCGTGAGCCACAACTACTGAACCTGTGCCACAACTACTGAACCCGTGTGCCGCAACTACTGAAGCCTGTGCGCCTAGACCCCATGCTCCGCAACAAGAGAAGCCACTGCAGCGAGAAGCCCGTGCACCGCAACCAAGAGTAGCGTCCGCTCGCCACAGCTAGAGAAAGCCCGTGTGCAGCAACGAAGACCCAATGCAGCCAAAATTAAATAAATAAATTTATAAAAAAAGAAAAATAAAGGAAAAGGTCAGAGTGAATGAAAGTAATAAGTCTTTCATTAATATCTGGATATAAACACCAAATGACATTTTATCATATTTTTCATCTTATGGAATAGAATTTCCTAGCTGTTCTTAATAATACCCAAATAATTGAAAACTACTATATTCTAAAGTAATTTTGACTTTACATACTATTTCTTTTTGAACCTTTGATACACACTGTGAAGATTTATTCTGTACTTAGTTGCTAAACAGCAAAAGAGAGTACCATATGCTAGATGCCATGTGACTTAAATAGTACCTCGACAGATGTCTTACACAGAGCTGGGGACCAGGGATGTGAGGAGATGCACAAGAAAAAACAGACATAGCCTCTGCCTTCCAGAAATCATCTGGGTAATCTAGAAATTTTCCATTTTCATGGCACAAAGGATAGGAAGATGGTAGCACAGCCATTCATGGCTACATTTCTTTTTATTAAATGCCATCACATGCTTAACCATCTCCAGTTTTGTCTATGTTTTAGATATCTCGCTTAAGATACTTGTTGATTAGCATAAAACAAACATTAAATCTCTAAATAAATTTTAAGGAGAATTTTACAAATTTTTAAACGAAATTGACTCTGCAAGCTTTCAAAAGATATTCTAAGAAATATATATTAAGACAAGTTTATAAGAATCTATTATTCAGAGTGTGTCAAATTCTTCTGTCCAAAACAGAGTCAAAAGTTACGTAACTTGTCTGACAAGCTAGTATTCAAACAAGATGTCAGAATTAATATTAACTTGCACCGTGGGACGGTGTAAAAACCGTGGACTCTGGCAAATACTCTGGGCAGTGCTGCATATCAGGGACAGTCGGTTCACACTGGCGTGCCTCTTATACAATGTCGTCTGCATACTGATTACATAAAAGGAAAACTGCTAAGCTTCTAGAAAAGCTACCAACTGGGAAATCACTGCAAATATGTTTTAGCCAACTAATATTTAGAGACTGAGCCGTAATAAATAAATGCAAGAAGGCCAGTATGTTAACATATCTGGCCTACTCTGAGAACTGGACACTGTTAATTTGAAAAAAAAAAAAAAAGTTATTTTTTGTACTAAAAATATTGTTGAACTCGGGAAAGATGCTGGAAGATCATATGTGAAAAGCTTAACTTTAGAGACATGTATAAAAAGCTCACCATCTGTCGTTTTCATGATTACACTGTACAATTTTTAATTGGGTAAGTTTTAAAACTAGTGGGGAAGAGCTTGTTTCTTGTTGTTAACAAACTAAACCCTAACGCAGAAAACTTCCATTGTTCTCCTTATATAGAAAAAGTCCACACTCCTTAGACTAACATTTAAATCGTTCCATAAACAGTCAGCTTCAGCCAGACGGTTTTCCTGGAACTATTTGTTTTCCTAGAAATATTAACCTATTATATTTTACTGCTTCTAAACTTTTGTTAAAGATGTTCCATCTTCCGTGAATAATGGAAATAATTATTCATATTCAGAAGTTTCCCCACTTAACTAAAACTTTTTTTTTTCAAGGCCAAGTTTAAATGCTATCCTCCCCATTGAGCCGTCCTTAAATATCACTGTGGGATGTGACCTCTCCTACTGGACTCCAAAAGGAGCCACATCCACTTGTAATAGAGAACATGGGTAGTACGTATGCTGAATCTGCTACCCTCGGTAAACTCTAAACCTCTTTAAGCCCCCAAATACCATGCACTGAACTTTGTACAAAGAAAAGACTCAAATGTTAAAAGACTAAGGAAAATAATAAAAATATTTTATTCCCATGGCTTACATAGAAAATCCAAATAGTTCTGGATTATTTAATTTTACATCAAAAGAATTACTGTATTTTAGTTTAAAAATATATAAGATACAAACATTTTCATTTATATTACTACAGGTTGGCTAATTAGGGCAGATTGATAAATTATTTAAAACTACATTTTCTTTTTACTTGAGGCATAAGAAAATATAGTTTGCTTGTTTTTCAACATTCACTCAAATATTTCTATCACTGGGGATAAGATATTTTAAAAAAATAAACTGGATGAATGGCATTTCATTTCCTCTACCTAGTCCTTCTGGGAACAGTGCTGCCTTAAGTGTGTGTGTGTGTTTTTTTTTAAGTAAACACAAACAGCAGAGAGAATAAACAGTCCCAAAACTATCTAGTGACAAAGCTAAGGTCATAGGAAATAAAGAAAATATCAAAATAAGACAATTTCTCTCTTGTGGTGAAAAAAGTGCAGTGCATCTGACTACATGTATGAGAGACATGATCTAACCTGCATGAGAAGAGGTGTTTTTAAAGTTATCTCATAATTGGAATTATATAAATGCCTCAAGAAAATCAGTACTATCTCCTCAAAATGGAGAAAAAGATGTCTGCACATAAAAATCAACTATTCTTCTAGAAAACTTCTACTACATAAAGCCGTAACTTAAAAAAAAATCGAGATTGGTAACGTTATATAAGATGTAAGAATATAAATTTATCTGTTTTTTGTTCAAATTAAGATGATTAGCTTGAAATCAATCACCCAGTAAACAAGTACCACTGACCATTCGACCTGTATGTCTACATATATACAACTTAACACCAGTTGCAACAGAAGTATAAAATATATAGTTCAGAACAGCATGTGTTAAATGAGTTAAAGCATGAGGTAAATAAGAATAAGAAGATAATAAAAGGGATGTTATAAGATA